ACCAACCTAAGACAGGAGGCTGACGCCTAGAGGTCAGTTCATCCGATGACGGGTAAGGACCATATGTTGAATTGGACTGCCTAACAGGCACGGTCCCTAAGCCACATGCTTGTTGTTTAAACAGAGAGGGGGAGATGTTGAGAGCCACAGCCAAAGGGGCCCCAGCAAACTTCCAGCTGCTGGCTGATGATTGGCTCACAGCGGCCCCAGCAACATCTAGCTGATTGGCTCCTCGGCCCCAGCAACATCTAGCTGATTGGCTCCTCTGCGGTGATGCTCATTGGACTGTTTCCCTGCCCTTTCAGACCACGGAGCTGCTCATTGGGGGACTTTTTTGGCTCCGCCCACGTGACCCAGCCAATCGGCCTCAAGAGCAGGAGGATTGTGGGAGGTGGAGAGAAGCTTGTGTGGGAGAGAGAGGCTTGGGGAAAGCCGGTGGTGGCAGTTGAGGCTCTGAGGGTTTTTCCTGAGAGACTATTTTGTTTGTCGTGTGTGGTTCTAAAAATAAAGTTAGTTTCTTTTGACAAGTGGCTCCTGATTGTGCCCAGCCAGACTGCGGCCCAGCTTTACCTCCAGCAGCTGGAGTGAGGCCTTGGCTGCAGCCTGCAGTGTGTGGTGACATGACCCACAGCTCAATGGCCTGTGCCCCATGAGGATGTGTGTAATGCAGGTTCTGTCAGACCTCAGGACTTCTAAGATTCATCCAAAGACGTCTTTGTCATGAATTTGTTCAGGCCCCATCATTGCCTTTCCTGTCTCCCACCTGGTACTCTTTGGACATCTGCGTCTCCATGGAAAACTCCTGCATAGGCAGCTACTCCCTCTATGTGCAGCCTCTAGTCCCCCATCAAAATATTTTGGTTGCTTGATTTCAACATGAACTTTATAAAATTACTTGAAAGTTTTTTGTTGTTATTGTTGGGTTTTTTTGGTGCTAGAGATCTGAATCCAGGGCCTGTGCATGCAAGGCAAGCACTTTACCAACTGAGCTATATCCCATCCCGAACCCTTGGAAGTTAAACAAGGTTTGGCAAGTATGTGTGGAAAGGATACCAAGAACAACTCTGCAGTTTGAAGGTTCTGGCAAAGTTCTCCCTTGCGGGTGGTGGTTATTTAACAAGCCTAGCTGCTACAAGGACAGGCTGTGCTCCAGCTCAGTCAGGAAGCCCAGGGCTCCGGTGTCTGCCCTGCTGTCACTCCACAGCTCCTGCATTTCTTGCCCAATTAGTTCTGGTGACTAGACAACCCCAAGGGCACAGCAGAAGCAGAAGTCTGGCTCGTCTTCTCATGCGTCCCCCCACTGCATCCTCAGGCTACTCACTGAGCTTACTCTGTGCAAGGCACTTCAGCTAGACGAAGCATTCTGTCTGCATTCACAGATTTTCTCAGTAAGTACTGGAGTACCTAGCTATGCCAGTCACTGTCAGGGAGCAGAGGCCACCAGTATGAAGTTCCTACCTGTATGGAGCTATAACCCGAGGAGAAGAAGCTGGTAACAGATTGGTAAACATCTCTAAAAAATTTACAGATTATAAACAGAAAAACAGGGACAATAGGCAGTGATCTGGCAAAGGTGGTCAAAAGGCTTTCTCAAGTCTTCCCTGAATGAGAAGGGCTAGCAATGCAAAGCTTCAGGGCAAGAACACTGAAAGAAGGGACAGCCAGCACAAAGGCTTGGGACGCTCAGGATCATGAAACTAGGGAGAGGTCAGCTCGTGTGGGACCTCAGAAAGCTCTGGTAAGGTCAAGATAGGTGCACAATCTGCTTTGTACTTTTAAAAGGCTTACTCTGTCCCAACACCACCAAAAAACTAAGGCTTACTCTGGCTAGAGTGAATTATAGGGCACAGTCACAAGTGAGGAGGCTGAAGCTAATCCAGACCAGAGATAGACCTGATGGGTATGTGGTCTGACATGGTTTGCTTTCTAAGGGTTCCTGTGTTGGAGGCTTGGTCCCCAATGTGGTGATGTTGGGAGGTAGTGGGGCCTTTAAGAGGTGCCTAATGGGATGTCACTACATAACTGGGGTTTCACCCTCAGAAGAGACTAATGTGATTCTTGTGAGACCCTATTTAGTTCCCCCTTGAGACTGGGTTGTTAAAAAAGAGCAAGATTGGCCTCTCCCTGGTCTTTGGCTTTTCTTACCATGTGATTACTCTCACAGGCCCTCCTGCCACCATGACAGTATCTGCCATGAGGCACTTACCAGAGGCCAAAATGATAAAGCAGCCCAATCTTAGACTTTCAGTATCTAAAATTGTAAAATAAATCTCTTTATTTATTTATAAAGTACCTAGCCTCAGGCATTTTGTTATAGCAATAGAAAATGAACTAATGAATGGCAGTGGATACAGAAAACTTGATGGAATTTGGATATATTTTGGAGGCAGTGTCAACAAGGTTTGCCGATAAACTAGATGTGGTGGTGAGGGACGTTCCCTCTCAAGCAACATTAACTGAAAAGGGAAACCTGGAAGAGTCACCTTTATTGGTTGGTGGGGTGGATGGGAAATGCAAAGGAGCCCCATCCATTGCTCTCTTTGGATGGGAATCAAATGCCATTATGGTCCCCAAAACTTTGTCCCACCATGTTAAGCCTCTCAGAGGTCAGAAGGGTTCTGTTAGGGGCAAAGTGTCCCTTCTTACTCTTTATCCTCCAGGAGAGTTAGGAGGCCTAGGGCAGATGTCACAGAATTAGCCAGGGCTTCACTGTTCAGTTAAGCCATCCCCAAAGGGACTGAACCGAGCCCCACGTGGCCCCAGCACAGGCATTCACTACAGGCGACCCATCCTCAGCCTCCTGGCTAGAAGGAAGGAAACAATGGAAGCTCATTTTGGTTCCCAAGTTATTCTCTGTTTTGGATGTCTGCAGATAAGCCCAGCGCTGTTCCTAAAACTCTACCACCAAGTTAGCTTCCTGTCACTGTACCAAGATCCCAAGGTCAACAACTTAAAAGAGAGAGGATTTTTTTGGCTCATGGTTTCTGAAGTTTCAGTCTCTGGTGAGGCAGATCACGGAGGCAGGGTATGATACACCACCAACAACCAGGAAGCAAGACAGGGGAAGGGGCTGGGGTCTTAATACACCCTTCAAGGGCAGGCCTCAATGACCTTTCTCCAACTAGGCCCCACTTCCTAGCGTCTCCATTAGTTCCCAGTACTGCCATGAGCTGGGTACCAAATCTTCAACAAGGGAGCCTTTGGGGACATTTAAGATCCAAACCCTAGCACCCACACTGCTCTCGAAGCAGCCACCAGAGCCAGGGCAAGCTCGTCACCAGCACAGTGCTGATCCTAACACAGTGCTGGAGGCCCAAGGAACCATGGACATGGAAAATAAGAACCTTAGGGACAGCAGGGACATGGGCCTCCAGTTAAGAGCGCCTCACAATAGGATGGCCAGTGCTACCAAAGTCCTCCCAGAGTTCTTCTCACGACCAGAGGGGAAAGGAGAGCCAGCTACCTTGAACTCTTGCCTGGAACTGAAACACATTCAGTGACAGTTTAATCCCTGGCAAGCTGAAATGTCATTAAGTGCGTGAAGGGGACCTGGCAGAACTCTGACTGTAGCATGGAACCTGGGGACAAAGGATTTTAAATTAACTTTTCAAAAATTCTGCTGGCCATTCAGAACCTTCTACTGCTTATGCTCACTGAGAGTTCACCAAAATTCCAGCCCCAGGCATTCTTCCTTCAACAGCTTGGGATTCTTGCTCCCACCTCAGATAACGACTCAGGCCCACCCTGGAAGTCAGGCTGGAACCAAGAAGGTGGCAATTAGTTGCCCCTTGGTTTCAACAGTGAGTTGGCCCCAAGATCCCCCACAGATACCAAAATTTGCAGTTGCTCAAGTGCTTTATATAAAGTGGCATTTGCAAATAACTATAGTCCTGTGAGCCTGGCAAAATGGGCTTTGGTATTTATTTTTAACCCAGGGCTTTGTGCATGCTCTACCAGTGAGTTACACCCCCAGCCCCTTCTCAGTAAAAAAAAAAATAAAAATAAAAAAATAACCCCCTACCCCAAGTACTGGGGATTGAACCCAGGGGCTTTTTACCATTGAACTACATCACCAGTCCTTTTTCTTTTGAGAGATCTTGCTAAATTGCCAAGGCTGGACACAAACTTTTGATCCTCCTGCCTCAGCTTCTGAGTTGCTGGGATTATAGGCATGCACCAACAAGTCTCTCATGGGAAACTAAATTCTCTAAATTACTTATAATACCTAATACTATGTAAATACTACAAAAACACCTGTTTTACTGTTCTGTTTAGGAAATGATTTTTTTTTAAAAGTGTACATGTTCAAGTCACGGACACCATTTTCTCTTTTCTGTTTCTTTTTTTCTTCTGTAGTGCTGGAGATGGAACCCAGGACCTTGTGCGTGCTAAGCAAGCACTCTACCTCCGAGCTACATTCCTAGCCATTCAATTTTCTTTTCTGAATATTTTTTCTGTGGTTGCTTGCACCTTCAGATGCAGAGTTCAAGGATACTGGCAGCCAAATGTACTGAATGAATGGATGTTTCAGGTACTAGGCATTAAAGGAGTAGATAGTCCATCCCTGGACTGGGGAAAACTGGGACAGTGCAGGATATCCAGTGTAAGAGAGACAATCAGTATGTGCAGGGTGATGACCCTGACTCTAGGGCAGGGGTGTCACAAAATACCCCTAGGAGGTGCCATGTATCACCTTCAAGGATGAACAGAGGCTTGCAGTCATCTTCTGGTCATCCTCTGGATCTCTGAAGCTTGTGGTACTTTCACACAGTAACTCTTTGCTGACTGAACTCAGTAGGAGGAGTGGATGATTCTGTCCTGGGCAGCCCAGTCCTGGCTGACTACCTGCTGCTTCCCAGAAATTCTAAAATGCAAGGGCCCCAGCTAGCCCAGTCCCCAATGGATGTCTTGCCTACACCAACAACACTGTATTTCCCCCAAATCCCTCTGTACTGGCTGCTTTCCATTCCCCAAGACCATTCACTAAGACCTCTGCTCACCTCCACAGAAAGGACCTTCCCCAAGGCAAAGAAGAAGGGATGCATGTTGATGTCCGGGTCTTTGCGGAAGCAATTGGGCTTGGCATGGTGCTGGAAGTGCATGTGGTTCCACCAGCTGGCAGGGGCCCCCTACAGAGAATCGGGGATGTGAATATGAAAACCTAGTATCACCTCTCCCCCACTCAGACACCCCCTTAGAGACTGGAGTCTCAGAGAGCCCCCTCTGTCCCACTGACCTTCAAGTGGCCAATCACAAAATGATGTAGCAGGTGATTCCATGTAGAGGTGCCAAAGACTGACAGATGACCAAAGTCATGCTGTAGCCAGCCAGCCTGAGCCTAGGAGAGAAGGTTAGTGCCAAGAGCCGCCAGCCTGTTCCAGCCTATCCCTCTTCCTTCACTCACCCAGGCCTGTGCTGGCCACAGTGCTCCCAACTGAGCACATCAAGAAAGAAGTTAGGAAACCTGGGTCTCACTCTGGCTCTGCCACTGATTCACATGGGAGTTGATGCAGATCACAATGCCTTCTGTGCTCTTCAGTTTCCCCATCTCTGAAGTTCCATGACTTAGGATGGACTCAATCCAGGAAACAGAAAGGACTCAGAGATAAGCAGGCTTGCCACATGGGTGCTGACAGCCAACAACTGGGCACCCACCATTATTAGCATGTTGGGCTATGTTGGTAGAGGGGAGGGAGTCAAGCTTTGTTGAGAAACCAGGATCTTGGTTCCTGGCACACTGGGCTGTGATAGAACCTGAACTTGAAGTTTCAGAGAACAAATTCCATGGGAAGAAGGATTAGAGACATTAAGAGAAATGATAATGTGCATGTGGCCAATGAGCAGATAAAAGTCACAGAAAATGGAATGTTCTCTTTGTGCATCTACTACCCTGGGTATCTTCAGATCTGCAGGCAGGATTCTTGGTCTTCTGAAGTGTATAAAGCTTTCCCCAGGGAGGCCAAGAATGGCTGTGCACTCGACAAGTCAAAGGCTCTTACCTGAACTATACAGAGTAGCACTGCAGAGAGGAGGAAGGTCACAAAAGACGTCCCAAAGACCCAAAGGATGAGCCAGGCAGCAACATCCAGCAAGAGGATGTGCAGCAGGTATAGCAGGAAGAAAAGGTGGCTGGACTTCATGAGTCCCATCCGCTCCACGGTAGCCCGCAGCTCCCGGAACTCATTCGTCAACTCTTTCTGTGGAAGAGTGGGGCTGTTAATTCTTCCCAGCTGCAACCCACACTGCTGGAGACAAGGGCCCAAGGACCTCCCACTGAAGTAGCTGTGGGAAGTCCATAATCGTAGGCAGAGACACCACAATGATGGGGAATGGTGACAGGAGGACCTGCTAAGAATGGGACTATGCCTATGAGTTAAACAGGACTTGACGTAGGTCCCTGTTTGCCATTTACTGTGTGATCCTTGGTGCCAAATCTTTCTGAGCATCAGTTTTTTCACATGTAAATGTATGAGGATTTTATGGGTCTATGCTGGGCACAGAGTAAGTGTTCAAAATATAGGTCTCCTGGGCTGGGGTTGTGTGCCCGCCATGCACACGTGAGGCCCTGGGTTCGATCCTCAGCACCACAAAAAAATAAATAAAGATATTGTATCCATATTAAAAATATATATATTAAAAAAGTTATATATATATATATATATATATATATATATATATCTCCTGCTGCTCACAAGGATGATGCCTGCAGTATTGCAGTATTGGTGGTGGCACCCTTGGGAGAATCACAGTTTCCAAAGTCCTGTTCCTTTGGGCCCATGACCCTGTGACTGTACAAGAGAGGCAGGAATCTCAAACCTCCTGAAAACTGGAAAACTGTCACCTATTATCTCTAGGTTTCCATTCCCTCCCCATCAACCAAATCTCCAAACAGCAAACGGGTCTCACATTCTTGGTGGGCTCAAAGCTGGGCTGCTCCGGAGCCAGTTCTCCAATCAGGAGAGAGTTCATATACTTGCTCACAAGGCCCTTGTTGATGTGGAATGCCACAAAGGGATCCTGCATGTGTGGGGAGAAGACAGCAAGGTGAGCAGTCAGCCCCAGTCCCTGAACAGCTCACACCAAAGCCAGCTTCTGCAGGCAGGAAGACTTACCCAAGTTGAAGCAGGGACCACCTCCCTCCAGCCTCTGTCCTGAGTGTGCTCAGGCCTTTCCAACTGCCCACAGCTCATCTTCAGCATGTGGGTTACCATGAGAAGAGCACCACACCAAGGAATGAGAAACACTGCTCAGGGGTCACCCAGAAAGACCTGGCTGGGCTGGCCCTGGTGCCTGGGAACAGCTTTTGCCCAGGAATTTAGACATAGGTGAGAAACAGGCAGAAGGGATGGGTGGGGCTGAGACTTCTCTTCCTTTGAAATTTGAACAAGGTCCCTCTTTCTGAGCCAGCTTCTTCCTGAAAAAAGTGCCCGAGTCCCCGGTGTGAACTGTGGAACTTGTCACATTTCTCCCCTTCTGTGCACCATGGTTAGGGGCAGGGTTCCCAACTTCCTTTAACTCTTACCAACCCCTCCCCAAGATGCCTAATTTAAGTGGAGTCCTCTAAGACAGGATTCACATTAGCAGATGGGGTGGGGGGTGGCCCTTTGCCGAGAAGGGGCTAGTGAGGTGGGGCGGAGCCAACAATCCGGTGGCACCACACATCCAGACCAATCACCAACCCAGCTGTGGTGTCCCAGGCCCCAAATCACACACAGCCTGTTGTCGGACTTGCTCCATCTCCGCAAGCACGGCCTAGGCTCATACTGTCTACAACCACCTAGGCTTGTGAGTGGTCGCTACAGGCAACGCAAACCGCACAGGCTCTAGCCTCACACCTAAGGCAGCTTGTCAGAGGGAGGGCAGGTCTTCACCCTGCAGCTCCAGGCGACTTAGCTGGAACTCTAGTGACCTGAGGCATGCTTTGGGACATCAGGGCAAAGATGGGAATGAAGATGGGTGATAGGTTTAGGGTGTCACACCACACTGTGTGGGATTAGAAACGGATCCAATGGGAAGGGAGGGGTTAACAATGATGAACCCGTCACAAGCGGTGATCACTCCTCATCCCCTGCTCCAGCCCAGGGAGGCTATGAAAGGCTCTTTGTAATCCAGAAAGAGAATCAGTAGAGCTAGGCATGCATGATAGTGCACACCTGTCTCAAAGAGCTGGGGATGTTGCTCAAAGGTAAAGCACTTGCCTAGCGTACACGCAAGGCCCTGGGGGTTCAATCCTTAGGACCGCAAAAATACAAAAACCAAACCAATCAACCAATGGGATCTGGGTTTTGCAGAGCAAACCCACCCTGAAGCAAGGCAAGGGAGGACAGCAGTCGTATGTGCCAAATAGCTAGAGACCCCCTGATATTTGGCTAAGTGACCTCCCCGGCAGTATTCAAAGACAGTTCTGGAAATCTTCCATAGTGTATGCCCAAGCTGGCGCCCCCACCTCAGCACAACACTCCCTTTCCTCCCCGCGCTTCTAGCCGGTGAGTCCCTTCCCCGCGTTTCCGCAAAGCGTAGGGGATCCCAAGGCAGCGGGCTTCGGGATTCAACCCTATCCTTTAGGGATTCCTCTCGTGCTTGGAAGTGCAGCCCAATACTTTCCGACAGGCACTCTAAGTACGACGCGGCTGCGCCTCCAGCTCCTAGCCCTGGAGACAGGACGTAACTCCCTCCCTGCACTGACCCCTCCTCTCTGGGCCCTCGGCAGCACCGCTGTCCCCGGGCCTTGTATTCTCGCTGCCTCCTTCCTCCTATCCCGGCTCTAGGTACTGTCCACGCCTGGAGACGGCAGACGGGGGCTGCGGATGGAATACACGTGGGGAACAGCCAGCCCTTTGTTTGTGTGTGCACATTGCTGGCCTCCAGCCCCAACCCCCCAGACTCATTTTACGGCCCCTCTCCTACTCTTGCCCCCGTGTCCACAGGACACTCGATCATCCGGCGCCTCCTGGCTTTCCTCCCAATTAGTAGGTGGTCCACCAAGGCGCCAAACTTCCTGTCTCCCGCTCCTTCTACGTACGGCCCTGGCCCGCCCCCTCCCGTGCCCCTGCCTGGCGGCGCTCACCGTGGCATCCTGCCCAGCGTAGTGGCTAATGACCCGGGAGCCCCCCGGGTGCCGGCGGGTGAACTCGCTGATATTGTACACCTTCCGGTCGATCACCAGCCATCGCTCCTTCTCGCGCCCGGAGCGCTGCGCCACCTCCTCCCAGGTGAAGTAGCGCGGGATGGATCCCTGAGCTGAAGTCCCAGCTGCCACCGGGTCGGGGGCCATTGTTGGCGTGGCGATGCCGCGCGCCAGCTGGGCAGGGGCTGTCGGGCGCGCGCTCTGGGACTCTGGGCAGTGCACGCCGGCCTCGCGAGCTCGGGGAGCGGTCCGCTGGCGCGCGCCCAGGGCCCACAATCCGCGTGCTGGGTTTTCAGCACCCGCGGTGCGGACCACAGAGCCCGGCGAAGCGCGCTCCCATTGGCTGAGCCGCGTGGCGTGGGGCGCGAGCACCGCCCTCCTGCTGGCCCGCAGGGGCGGCGCCCCTGGAGGGACTTGTCTGCTCCCGGCGCTGCGAACACGCGCCCCCTCGCGGGTACCTTAAAGTGGTCGCGGCTAAATTCTGCTTCCTGAGTTTCTGGCGGGGAGTTGCAGGGATGGCTCTTAGGGAACACCGTGGACAGAATAACGGTTTCCGGGGAGTGCTTGGGTGGGTCTCAGCTCGCTGAGGCCGAAGCCCAAAGGCAAATAGGATCGGGCCAGGCTTGGCCTGCAGAAGCTCCGGCTGAGTGTGATTGTGCAGAAGGAAAACAAGTTTAGACAAATTTAATTTGGCAGTTTATTTGGGCAAACAAACGATTACAGAGTTTCCAGTGAGGTGGGCAGGCAACGATTATAGACAGAAAAAGGAAGTGACATACATAAATGCTTTTGGAGGCAGCTTTGGGTCAAATTTAATTTGACGATTTCCCCAACCCCACCCCCACACTTTTTTTTTAAGTTGACAGATGAAATCGTGTGAATTGATAATGTACAGCATGATGTTTTAAGAATTTTATATATATATATATATATATATATATATATATATATATATATATATGGTGGGATGGTTGAATCTAGCTAATTAACTCTCTTGAGTGATCTATGTCATTAACAGACCGAACACATTTGTGTCTTTCCACAATGTCAAAATTTATTACATAACAATAAATTCACAGGCCACATCACTTTCAGTGGTGGCAGTTCACCAAATACTTGTGGGTTATCTGATAGACATAAGCTGGGCAAACACGAGTTCTTTTATTCCAACCTAATTTCTAATATCTATTATATTTGAGTTATATTTGAGTTAATTTCTAATATCTATAATATCTATAACCCTCAAGTCACACCACTGCAGGGTTTCAGGATGCTGTACCAAGAGCACAGAGAGAGTGTTCTTTAACACTGAAGGCAGTTAAAGAATTACTGTAGGCAGTCAAGTAAGGATTTTAATGAACCCGTTCTGCAGAGTTGTCAAGGCAGAGGGTCTGGAGGGTTGTGGTTTTAGTTTTAGAGTGTCAGCTTGGAAGGTTTCAGCTTGGAAGGGCTCATAGGGAGTCAACACAGAAAGGGGAAACTGCACTCTGCTGAAGTCTGGTAGACCCGAAATCAGAGGTTTGTCTAAGTTGGCCCGTATGTTACTTATCAGTTTGTGCTTTATAGTTGTGCTGAGGACATGGTGGTTGTTTACTTATTCAAACAAGGCATAGAGTCATTCTATCTTGGCACTTGTACTCAAACTGTAGTAAAAGTCAAGACGGAGTAACTTAGGTTACTGCTGTCCTATATACCATGGAGTAACTCTGAAAAGGGCACAGTCTGTACTCCACGATCTACCCCCTGAATCCGGAGGGCATGAACCTGAAATCTCTGGAATAAGAGGAATCAAATCGTTCTCAGAGACTGATGACACAGGTTTTGAGCAAGTAGAATCCAAATATTATTGCCAATAATAAGAACAATGTTTCTTTAGATGAGACCATATTATGCTGGTCAGGTTATACCAACCAGTCTTGATGCAGGTCAGAGGGTTCCAATTGGACCATGAACATGTACGTGGTATGTGGGCTTTGAAGGATTTGCTGATTATTTGGAAGAACATGCATTTGGTATGTATGTCTTCAATATCTTTTGAAGTGTAATTGAGTTAATATTTAGTACTGCAGCTACATTTTGTGTGTGTGTGTGTGTGTGTGTGTGAGTTCAGTTGAATTTTTTACATTGGCCAATTGTGGAAGGCATCAGATGCTTTTCTGAGTTCCTCCTGGTTTGTTTTGATGACATTGTCCATGTGTCATCATGGAATTTCTTGTATTCTACCATGCCATGATTCAGGAAAGTCTCCATATAACATTTATTGGGTATGGGAAACTAGGTAAGGTTTTGTATTCATTGTAACATTAGTTACAGTTGTCACCTTTATACATTCTGAGTTTATAACATGAGCATTTGATCCTGAGGTATGATTGTAATATAGTACTTTAATGTTTGATTTATGACATATTATCCACACAAAATTTCCTAATTTCTAACATATATAGGTACAGTTGCTATATTAATGGGGTAATAATCTATGGTAGGGGTAATCTACTCAAATATAATGAAACTCAGATGACCATTTTTGCACCATTCCCTGTTAATACTCTATCCTGATATGTATAACAGGTCTCCTGTAGCGGAAATTTGATGTTTACAATCATGGAATGTCTGTGCATAAACTATCAATGAGGAGTTCCACCTGAAAGCTGAATTATGTCTAATGGGAAATCTCTGGATGTTTTAAATCATATTTGACAGGTCATGTATATAGTCCAGTAGATTTAAAGAAACTGTGTGCTTCATAATCTATTTGCCATAACCAATCCATCATCACCATGGATTAAAGTGTGGGGCATATAACTTTCCCCTGAGATAATCTTTGTTTGACTTGGGCAGTTGCTTGCTTGTTCAGCACTGGGTATCTATTAGTGTTTCTATTATGCAAACAGTCGCTTTAGTGAATTGCATCTGGTGAAGTGTATCAGTGCTGTACATGGGTGTGTATGTATCTGTGGAGTTAGAGCATAGGTGCTGGTGTGCTAACAGAATCTGGGCAATAACACTGTCTTTGTGGACAAAATAAGTAGTAGGATGTAGTAGTTATGGTGGCACAGATGATTAAAAGAGGAATAATAAGGGGCTGGGTTGTGGCACAGTGGTAGAGTGCTTGCCTGCATATAAATAAATAAATAAAATAAAAGTTCATCCACAACTAAAAAATACATATTAAAAAAAAAAAGATGAATAAGGCTGGGGTTGTGGCTCAGCAGTAGAGTGCTTGCCTAGCAAGTATGAGGCACTGGGTTTGATTCTCAGCACCACAGAAAAATAAATAAATAAAATAAAGATTTTTAAAAAGATGAATAATAATAGTAATGAATAATAACAATGAATGTGCATGAGAGGCGGCAGGGCGGACAGCTCAATTGCATGTTGTCTAAACTTGCCTGTTAGTGCCTGGACATGGGAAATGTCATGATCATACTCCACATTCCAGGTGTTTGTCCTTCTATTGGATTCAGTTTGGGTTTTGCCAGTGTGCTGCTGTTACTGCTGCGGTGGTCAAGACAATTGCATATGTCTGAATGGCCAGTCAGATTGGTTCATTCATATATCTAGTTATAGGGGCAGAGACTGTTGATTTTCTGTAGTGTAATGTCCCCTGTGTCCTGTTGTCCAATAGGTAGTCATGTCTCCCACTGCCACAATTTCCTGTGGGAAGATATTTCTGTCCTTGATTTCAATATGCACCCTATAAAGTAGCACATTAGGTCTTTCTAATTCCCTTTTTTTTCCCCATATTTTCAATGGGTATATTTAAATAAGAATGTGGACTTCCCTTAACTCTGTGTTCTCTCTGATTTAGATTGAAACATGCTTGAAGCAATTTCAGTTGGAAAGCTGAGAATTCTGGAAATAATTGTTTTTTTCTTTTTAGTAGTACATTGTCTATCCATTCACTGCTTGGGCACCATACTGTCCTTGTTATGAAATGGGTTTCCTGATCACTATTCTCCTAGGGGGTCCCTAGGCTACATTCCATAGCATTAAACTCTGGTTATAAAAGCTGCTGATGGTTTTGCTGCTGCTAAAACTAAACCTGATTCTGAATAAATGTCCACCCGTGTTTGTGGATACTGGTGTTGTATTTGCCCTGAAAATCTATTTGCTTAATCAAGTTAGATGGTTTACTTATATGTGTCTGTTAGGATTCTGAATTTAAATTTTGTCAGTGAGGGTTTTGCAATCTTCACATCCTTGTCTTGCCCTTTGTATCTCAGGCCAGGTCACTGTCTGGTTCCTGTCATCCATGTGTACAGTCCATGAGCACCCATATGTCCTTTCAATGCATGTGTAGTTAATATCTCTTGTGCAGTTTTTGCACATGGGTCCTTCTTAATTGTCCATCTTCCTGCTTTTTATTTTGATGCTTGGCACCTTGGGTATTTCCCATGGGTCATCATCTCCTTTTCAAAGTGTTAGAGGTGGAGTGTTTGTGTGTAGTTCTGTCTGCATCCTTAGTTAATTTTAAGTTGGGTGTTTTGTCCTCTGACTTTATGCTCTGCGTCAGTGCATCTGCTTGGTTGCTGTATTTAGTTGTGTCTGAATCATCCTTCTGATGTGCTGATACGTGCGCCACCCTAACGCTAAGTGTTTGTGAGGCTTTTTGTAATTCTTTCCAGACTACAGGTCTTTGCCATTTGTTTTATAACTGTTATGTGTCCATTTGTGTGACCACAGAGCTATGCCATTCATACGGATCCCCAGAGGTGAGCATTGTGTTAGGGTGTTTCCTTTTTACCCTGACCATAATTTTTTTGTTCAGTTAATGTTTTCTAGTTAATGTCTTGCCCATGCTAATGATTTCTTAACATATTACAACTATATAGTCCACATTACAGAGGAATCATTGTAGGCGTGGGACCTGAAGTTCACTTTCCTTCCTCCTGCTATTTTGTATATTTGTATATTTCTTTTGCCAACAAATTCCTCATTAGATGAGATCCTAGCATTTACCTTCCCAGTTCTCCAACCTTTGACCCTTGATCTGCATGGATCTGGGATGTGCCCTCCTTACAGTGCCCTAGTTGGGTTTTACCCCAAATGGTTGCACCATGGCATAAGCCAGCCCACAGATTTGCAGAGTCAGCTTTGTTCATAAGTCTTTGGTATGGGTGCCGAATATTATCTGTATTGCCAAATGGCTTGATTTGTTTGAAATTTTGTATATTTCCAATCATTTTGCCAATGATCTGTTTACTTATTGGATTCCTTCTTTAATAAATGGAATACTGCTACTACATCAATTGTTGTGAATGAGCTGAGCCATTAGCATAGACCAA